TTCACACATAGCACAGATGTAGAAAAAGCAATCGGTGAAATGAGAAAGTAAATGAAAGCCTCCCTTTTCTGACTCCGTTCTATCACTCCATTCCGTCACTCGTTTCTCAAAGACATGGACACAGGGAGTAAAAAGGAAACATGCGGCCCCGGGACAAGAAAATGGGTTTTCTGAAGTCCTTTCTGATAGCTTAATGGAAACTATGTTTCGGTGATATTTTGGCTGGCTTGCCGAAAATATTATCTCGGTCTCCCTGGTCTCCCTTGGGCATGGCTACAGAGATTCAAAACAGCTGAACGTGGAGCAAGAAGCTTTGCTTTAGAGCAAATGAGTGCACCTGGACTCATGTTGCTACATGCCTCTCTGAGCCCTGGTCTGGAGGCCTTGCAGCAGGGTCTTCTAGGACAGTAACTGGTGTCTGGCTGGTGTTCATCACGGATGACTTGGCGCCGGTTCCCTGCACATCCTCAGTTGGGAAGAGGGATCATAACAATGGTGGAGAAAGACTGCAGTGAAGTTTTTCAAATATCCATCAAGGCACTGGAGAAAGTGTGCTTTTTGCCCTCTGACCCCAAAATGTTGGGCAGAAGATAGGCTGGTCATTCCTGCATGTGACTGATCATCTAGATCTGATTCTAGATGGTTCTGCAACCTAGCCTCCTGTTTTTCTTGATTGAGCAGGATACGGGCAGTTTGCTCAATGAGGGACCAGCTAGGAAAAACATTCAGGTTTAAAACAATTTTTCTATACCAATAATGACTGTTGCAGGGCTGTTGGGGGACTGTGAAGCGTGGCTGCCAGTGGGGGAAGTTCTTAGCTCTAGAAAGGACTGGAAGGTTTAGTAATCCCAGCTCTGCTAGTACAGATCCCAATGGATGAATGAAGCTTTACTGCAGGGAGTCAGAGGCCTCTGAGCAGGGGATGGATAATCATTGTAAATCGCTTTCTTTCTGTCCTCCTATTTGAGAGCTTTGAGGTATGAAAATAAGATTGCTCCCTTGAAAGAACGGCATGAACGAGGAAGGATGGAGCTACTCCCAACAACTGATGGTGCTAGAGATCTTTCTTTATGGAGAAGCACTTTAGGTCCTGAGCCTGTGATGGTGAGAGCTGTGAAAATGATTAGCCTTGATTTGGTGGTTGTCTAGACATGCAGTGCTGCAGAAGTCCCCAAAGTGGGTGCCTTTATCAAACAGAATGTTATTATTTCACCATGTAGGAACCTAGTCATCTAATTCAGGGATCCGGTTCTGGGGTAAGACTTGCTCTTTCAATTGGCTCTTGTCCTTGTCTTATTTCAACATCTGTTGGCCTGGCATTCCTCAGAGTTCTCCATGAGTCTTGGCTCAAGCTTCCCCAGAGTTCTCAGCACAAAGAACTGGTTCTAAAGGACATGTTCTGCTCCCACCTCTTCTTTCTTTGTAGTACAGGGGTGCCCTCTTCTCAGCTTGATTCTCTCTCCTTTTATCTCCTGTGCAATAAGAGATGAAGTTGGCCACACCCAAGGAAGCCTCCCTAATGACCTGAGTAAGATTGGTGACTTAAGTGCAGGTGTAACACCCTACCCTAATCCTGCCCCCATTTGTCTAATGGACATAACCTACTCCTTTTCTTTCTTTCTTTCTTGAAATCATTTTATTAGGGCTCGCGCAACTCTTATCACAAACCATCCATCCATCCATTGTGTCGAGCACATTTGTACATTTGTTGCCATCATCATTTTTAAAACATTTTCTTTCTACTTGAGCCCTTGGTATCAGCTTTTCATTTTCCCCTCCCTCATGAACCCTTGATAATTTATAAATTATTATTATTTGTTCATGTCTTACACTGACTGATGTCTCCCTTCACCCACTTTTCTGTTGTCCAACTCCCTGGGAGGGGGTTATATGTAAGTCATTGTGATCGGTTCCCCCTCTCTCCCCCACCTTCCCCTTCCCCTGCTGATATGGCTACTCCTACTCCTTTTCAGCATGGGTCTTATCGTGTCTCATTCATCACCAGCAGAGGTGAAGATTCACTACACATCACAACATAGAAGATAGTTGTACAATATTGGAAATTGTGGGCTTGCCTAGTTGACACAATTTAACACATGACAGAGGTAATGAGGTCCCCTGTTTTCAATATGCAGCTGTATGAGACAAAGCTCCTGCTCCAGCCCGAACTCTAGGATGCCCTGGGGTCTTAGGGGGTATTTATTTGCTGGTGATCCCCCCCCCAACCCAAGAGTTTTGTACAAAGAGAAACACATTGGCTGTTCTCTTTCTCTGCCCCAGACACGGGCACCTGTACCATGGCTGAACAAGGGGGACCTCCTAGGGGACCTCCTACGGGACCTCCTAGGGGACCTCCTAGGGGACCTCCCTCCTTGCAAAAACCCAGCCTAAGCCCCTCAGCAAGTGGCAGGGTGTCACTTCCAAGCAGTGTCAGATTACTCAATAAATGAGGCAAGCATGAACTTACCTGTGCTTACTCACTAATCTGTCGTGAACAATTTCACATGTTTTCACCACATCAAAGGTTCTGCTTCTCGAAAGGCCTGGCACTTGTCTCTCTCTCAACCCCACAGCACCTGTCGACAGACTCAAATGTACAGTCCCTGATAGGGAGGGACCACATACCTAGTAAACTAGGTAAGCATGGGTTTACTTGTGCATATTTGCTACTCGGTGGTGAACGGCTTCATGGGTTTTTCACAGGTTAAAATGAGCACCAGGAAACCTGTGGTTACCATGCTTACGGGGTGATCTGCCCCCATTCCAAGCATGTTCTGCCCGGGAGAGCAGAAAACGGGATGCAGGCCATTTGTGTCTTTTGCCGTAGCAAATGCAGACCCAGTAGAGCAAATGTATTCTGTGACAGACAATGGGCTGGGGGACACGGACGGTGAAGCTGGGCCGATCTGTCTCATTCTGGAGTACAACGTTTCTTTTTCTTACTTGAAGCAATTCTGTTCTGAACCCTTGAAGTGTTGGGAGCTTTTCTTGGGAGATCTCTTTGTCTCCACTCTGGGGGCAGTAAGAAGGATCATCCAACGTTCCAGAACCTTCCACAAAGGACCTTTCATAGCTGAAGGGCTACTTGATCAAGCCTGGATTTGGGATGTCTGTTGGGGTCCCAGCCTTTGGATAGGTGGACCCAACTCACCAGGCTGATGTGCATGAGGGCACCCTAAATGCTCCCACAAAGGACCATATTCCCAGCGGCCTTCTGCTTCTTCTCTTCTCCTAAGTGACTTGAATGTCTCTAGCATTACTGAAGATCGGCTTCTGGAACCTCTGTCCCCCCTCAATAATAACATGCACGAAAGGGGGCAGCTCAGTGGGGTGGTGGTGATTCTCATATGGGGTAACTTGTGAGAAGGCAGTGACAGCACCTTAGGAACTATTGCCTGTAGTTATCCACATTCTGAACTTTAAAACAAAGGCCACTGCTGGCCGAGTGGCTAGGCAATTGTCAGACAACAGCCAGAAAAATCCCCACTGCATTGGATGGCTGATTTCTCTGGCAGCAAGTGAAAGCTTTCGTGATTGCCCCCTGAGGGTTGGCTGAGCAAGCCAGGCACGCGGATCTCAGCATGCATGCACTGCCCCCACCCACCCACTGTGGGCCTTAGTGGGTATACGTGTCTATGTGGGTGGGGGAGGGGGGCGCAGGCACCCCTTGATCACACTTTAGGCAGCTGCAGACCCCACCCAGGGACAGCACACCAGAGTAATTCATCCGAGTCTCCCAGCCTCAATGGAGGACAATTTGGAGGCATTGTTTACAAATCAATGTCCCCCTCCCCTAAATAGGCTGTTACAAGAGTGCACCCTTCAGCTTGCCCAACCGGGCCCACCTGTCACCGAGGCTTCGGTAGCCAGTGGTCACACCGTATTGATATTTTTAATCCCCTCTCTTTGAAACACAGAGCCAGCTGATGTGGAGTCCCTTAAAAGAAAGCCTCCCCCACGGACCGCCCCTACCTCTACAGGTAGCTGTGTATCGGGCTTAATGCCCCACAAAACAAGTCTTAATTGGCTTATGGGGAGCCTGAAAGATCTCCCTTGTGTGTACAAGGTGAAAGGAAAGGATGGACCCCCGAATGCCCGGGCCTGCCTTTATCCGTTTCTTGGTAGAAATCAGGTGCGTTTTATGTTTGAATTGTTTTTGGAGCACGACTGAAGGGTTGGCAGTGGGGTGGGATAGTGTTTCACGTAGTGGTTGAGGGAGGGTTGGGCGGGGGTGAGAAGAAAAGCTCTAGTGAGACATTGACAGGAGGCAAGAAACTTGGTCAGGTTTTTTCCCCCTTTGTTTTTATTTACACGGAGCATCTGCAATACAAAAATGTAAACTTTGACAGCTCATCATAATAGAATAAACTCTTTATGTACAAAAATACATTTTCATATGAATGAAGCATCTTGAATAAATTAAAGTACTCTCTAACCCAGAGCCTGAATAGCTATGCAGCCCACTGGAGCTCTTCCTAGAGCGAGTCTGCAGTGGTGGGGCCCGGATCCATAATGCATGAAGCTCGCTCCTTGTCTCCTTTTTAAGCCTTTGCATTGTATTGTCAGCCGGCTCAAACCGAATTTTCATGCTCGTTTTTCTTCATTAGAGTTCTACAAATTGTAAAATTGACTTTTCACCTCGTCTTCAGGGGCTGATCTGTCCTTTTTCTCAATCACACTGAAAGTGGCGGCAGGGGTCAGCGCGGAGCCAGCCACAAAGGGGGTTTTGTGGAGTTCGGAAAGTGCAAAAGGAAAGGCTGTCTAGGGGCGGGCAGGACACCCCCCCCCACCCCCCCGCCCGGGGCTGAGGGCTGGAGAAATGGACCCAGGACCAGTGGCGGTGATGGTGCAGCATAACAAGTGTCTCAGGTATCCTCCGCCCCTTCAAGCTCTGGCTACTGCCCTCCCCCTTGACTGGGCCTCCGAGACCGCCGCGTGGGGTCCCATGGACTACTGACTGCTGATGAGGAAGGGGGAAGGTCACGGTGTCCACCAAGAGCCTAGTGGTAGGGGACCAAACAGGGCGTCGGATGGAGCACGTCTTTGGACAGGCCAGGGAAGGCGAAAAGGGGGTCACCAGGACCATACGCGAAGTCTTCAGAAGCCGCAGGGCTGCTAGGGTCGGAGAGGGGCGAGGTGGCCGCCGCGCTGGAGGCCCAGGACTCTGCGTCGCTGGCGGGGCTCGGGGGCCCTGGCAGGCAGGGGACGCACTGCGGCGGCGGCAGGAGACGCTCGCGGGTACCGCTCCCCGGCAGCCCCTGGTCCGCCAGGCGCAGCGTCTCGGCCAGGGCCCAGATGTAGTTGTAGGCGAAGCGCAGAGTTTCGATCTTGGTGAGCTTGGTGTCGTCGGGGAAGGAGGGCAGCACGCTGCGGAGGGCGTCCAGCGCCGCATTCAGGTTGTGCATGCGGTTGCGCTCCCGGTCGTTGGCCTTGACTCGCCGGCTCCGACGCAACGAGTGCAACAGGGCCTCGGAGCGCACCCGCGCGCGTCCCCGGCGCCGCCGCCTCTCCTGCTCGTCGTCCGGCGGCCCTGGAGCACCAGGCGCCCCGGGGGTCGCAGATGCGCCTCTGCTGGGCGGCGCCGACAGCCCCGCGGTGGGGGCCGGCGACTGGAGCCTGGCACAGTCCTCCTCGTCTGTGAGGAAGCCCGACAGGTCACTGCTGCTGCTGCTGCTGCTGGAGCAGTCGAGGTCAGAGAGGCAGGTCTCCAGCGGGGCAGGCATCCTAGCTCCGAAGTGCGCACTGACAGATAGGAGATGCTTAGGGGACAGGAGCCCGGGCGGAGGGCAGGCCCGACGGGGTGCACTTACGTTCCACACTGCCAGGGGCTGCCGCGTGCCCGCTGTGGGCGCCAGAGCCCGGAAAGGCGCAGGGGGCGCACTGGGAACTTGGGCTCGCTTCCTCGCCTCGCCTGCAGGGGCCACGCGCCTGGCTGGTCTCCTGAGTGATCTCGCCGGCGATCAGATCAGCTCGTGTGAGCACCGAGTGTGGCACACGACCGGCCTCAGGACCCCTTAAGTACCCAGTGCAACAATGGGCGCCCCCCTCCCTTGCCACCTCCGCCCCCGCGGCAGCCCCAGTGAATGGAACGAGGCGGCAGGTCAGCCCCGTGCGGCTCGCGGGTATTTGCATAATGTATGCCCTCGGGGGGCCCCGCCCTCGCCCCTCCCCCCTGCGGGAGCGTGCCCGTAATTACCGCCGGCCAATCGGCGGCGCCTTGGGGCTGCGGGAGCCCTCTCTGAGCTAAGCCTGCCAGGGCGTCTCCAGGCAGGGAAACAGAGGTGGGGGCGCTGGGCGATTAGCCACCAAGGCACGCTCCTCCCGGGGCGGGCCTGGCGCCCTGCGCTGGGGTCGGTGGTGGGGGGGGGGGGGGTGGGACGGGGCACTGGCAGGCGAGTGTGAGTGCACAGCTAGTTGGAGGAAACTTCCAGCTGTCCCCGGAGTGGGGATCGCATCAAGTGGAGGCTTGACTTGGGGACAGGTGACTTAGACTCTTGAGCCTCAGTTTCCCCATCTGTAAAGCGGTTACAAGCCTACCCGGTTGAAGATGGCATGAAATGATGTTCGAGGAGCAATTGCCAAAAGTCCCTTTTGTCACAGATCGCTGGATAAATGTATGCGAAGAGAGGCGCAATCCGAGCCCCGCAAAGCCCCTATCCAAATAGACAGAAAAGCAGCCGGGCGGGGCCCCAGAGCAGAGGCTAAGGATAGCCATCTCTGCTCCGTCCAGGCTGGTGAAGAAACTGGGAGATGGACGAATCGGCTGAGTCTCCTGTGAGGTGTTTTCCTGGGTTGGACTAAGTACCGACCTCCCCAGTCCCCTACAGCTGCGGAGGGGAGAGAGAAATAACAGAAACATTCCAATACCATACTGGAATACTCTCTGCTCCAGAAGCCTGGAGACAGGGGCCCCAAGGGTCCAGGAAGTCCTCTGTGCGCCCTGCCTGTTGGAGGGGCGCTGGAAGACAGGCGCAGAGAGAGCTTGCCTTTGGAACTGTGAGTGTCCGAGGGGCAGCAGGGAGAGTGGGACCCTCTGGAGCTGTTCTCCCCTTTGGGATAGAAGCCTGTTTCTGTCTACAAGGGCTCAGCAATCGCTTCTCTCAGGCCACCAAACCTCAATCTGCAGCCACAGAGGCCCAGTGTTCTCTTTAGGGGGTGAAAGTCATTAAAGAGGAAAGCCATTAAAGAGAGTGTTTTTTTTTAAACAAAACAAATGCTTTTTAGCAAAGTCAGTGCCTTGCCATGCCATCCAAGTGGTGGCTTCAGACCCGCTGGCTGGCCTGCTCAGAGAGGACCCATCCCCTTAGGGAGCAGTGCCTGTCTTTTGCTGGAGGGGAGCCATCCACAGACCCGAGGCAGTACACACCAATCGGGTCTGCCTTCTACCTTTCTGGGCTCAGCCTTTTCCTCCTAGGGGCTTTGCACCCCACCTGGACCCCCAGCCTCTATGTTTGTTGGAAGTCACAGAAAGAGGCCTCAACCAGGTAAACCAAGAGAGGGATCTGGCTAAACCAAGAGCTGCTCGGTGGTGTGTGAGCCCTGGGCATCCCGGAGGCCTCACTCAGCTTCTGGCCTGGTTCTCTCCCTGCTTCACCTGCCACATGGCCTCCAGCCTTGACATAATGACACCTTTGGCCCTTTTCTAAGGCCCAGGTGGAGATAATCCATCTAGGGAGCAGACAAGATTGTCAAGGTGGTCATTCATCAGTTCCTTGGCTGCCCAGCACCCAACAGTCTTCCTATTGAGCAATTCAAACTCAAGGGGGGTCCCCTATTCCTTCCTTAATTCTTGGGAGTGTGTGTCAGTGTGAAATGAGTGCACCCCATTTGAGGGCTCACAGCTCTGAGCTTACAACAGTTCCGTGTTCCCTTGTGTCATGGTAATAAGCCAGAAGACCAATGGCCAGTGGTGGAAGAGCTGACCAGGGGCCAGTGGGCATCCTGATCCAATTCCTGCCAGGGCCTGCCTTCAGCTATGGCCCTGATCACCCCCTCCCTGCTCTCTGGTCTTGTATTTTCCTAGTCCTGGTCCTTCTTGCTTGGGTGGCCAAGCTCAGTTTGCATGAGCATTGAGACTAATGCTTCTTCTCACTGCCATCCAGCCAATACCGACTCAGAGTGACCGCATAGGACAGGGTAGAACTGCCCTGATGAGTTTCCAAGGCAGTAACTCTTTACAGAACCAGATAGCCTCGTCTCTCCTGAGGAGCAGCTGGTGGTTTTGAAGTGCTGACCTTGCTGTCAGCAGCCCAATGGGTACTCACGACGCCACCAGGGTGTTTTTATTTATTTTGGCAATTCATACACCATATTGAGCATCTGCTGTGGGACAGGCATTGTGTCACCCTGGAGTGACAGGATGAAAACCTGGCTGTCCGGTGCCAGAGGTGCCAAATCTTACAAGCTTAGAATTCAGTGCTGGTAGACTTTGGGGGGATTATCCACCCATCCACTGGGCTTTATCCTTGGGGAAAAAAGGATCAGCCATGGCGTTCCTTTCCAGCTTGTTCTGGGGGTCTGCTGAGGGAGCAGCTTTCAAAGGGAAGAGAGCAGTGGTCAAAGAAAGCTTCCTGGCAGAGGGGCACTTAAAAAGCATGGGTGGGATGTCAGTAGACAATCAGGGCTTGGGAAGGCCTGTGGGGGCCCAGTGGGAAGAGACTAAGGGGCACCTGTGGTGGGCTTTGAATGGCCAGGGTGGCCTTTCCTCTTCCTCTCTGTGTCCCCTTCTTGCGGCTGCTTTATCTGGGCAGGGCAGGCATTGGCAGTTGTTCCAGCTGTTTACTGCACAAGGGCACCTGGCAGAAGGGACAATGGGGGATGGGTGGGAAGCAAATACCTGGTTTCTTTCTATTGCTTGCCAAACCATGTACCTTGGCGGGGTTTCATGCACTCAGAGAGGGGGCCCTTTTCAAATGTGCACAAAGGTTTTTTGTGGCCCTGTGCTGTCTCTGGACTTGGCCCTCTTCTTTGCCGGTCTAGTGGCCTGCCTGGCTAAGCATCCATCAGTCAGGCTTTCACCCTGTCACCCTAGGGTCTAGAACAATGCCTGACTCAGACCAGATACACAGGATATTCTACTGGACAGTATCTAGGAGCAAATATTCTAGTGGCCAGTGCTTGCCTCTTGTGCTTCTCCCAGATACATCTCAAGCTTGGGCAGCCCCTCCCACATCTGATGCACTGAGGATGGAGCTGAGGCACGAGCAGATGAGAACTAAAGGTTCTCAGGCTTGATTCCAAAGAGGCTTGGAGCTATCAACTCAAGAGGTAATGGCTGGGTCTCAGGCTTGATTCCAAAGAGGCTTGGAGCTGTCTCTACTCAAGAGGTAATGGCTGGGTCCCTTCCAGGACGATATCTATGCTGCCCTGTGGTTCACTAAACCCTCGAGACAAGGCAAGCACGTTGATGTGACAGCTCAGGGGTGCTCCAAGTGGTGCCCAGGCTGGGCTTTCTCTCGGGCTTTCCCTGGCTGTCGGACAGCTGGAGGAAGGAGGAGAGGTTAGGGTCTGAAAGGCATTCGCGGGCCAGAAGGTCCACACTTGCCCCAGGAAGCCTTGGAGATCTGCCACAAGATGACGGTGACACTGCCAGGGAGGTGACTCCGTTCCTTCTCCGGTAGACCATTCTGACATTCAGCACACTGCTGAAGAAACCAGCTTTTAACTAGAGATGGAGGGTGGGGCTCACTGGGGTTGAACAAAGCATTGGCCTTTTGAGATTCTTGGTGTATTTTTGTAAATAAGAAGAGACCAATAATACATGTTTACATATAATAAACCCAGATGATCAACACCTAAAGATACAGAGTAGCCTAGCTGTGCTGCTCGCTATATAATTCACGAGGTCAGTATTGAAAGCGAGCAGCCAGGCGTAACACCTCAGGTGGCATGGAGGTACGTGGCTGGATCAGGCTTACACATGTGGCTGGACATCTTCCAGGCCTGTCAGTGGGTCCCCGTGGCCATTGTACGACTTCATTTGGAGTCCACAACCTTGGAGACCTTTTGTGGATTCGGAGGCTGAGCCAAATAGTCTCCCTGCCAGCCTCCCCTTTGGCTGAGATCTAAGGCTGCACACACTACCTGGGATTCTGTCGTGAAAGCTAGAACCCTGGTGGTGTAGTAGGTTATATACTGGGTTGTTAATCACAAAGGCAATGGTTCAAACCTACCAGTACATGGTGTGAGAAAGATGAGGCTTTCTGCTCCTGTAAAGATGTACAGCGGTAGAAACCCACATGAGGCAGTTCTACTCTGCCCTATAGGGTTGATATGAGTCAGAATTTCCTGGGTGTCAGTAAGTGTAATGAGAGCCGTGATTGCAAGTGCTGCGGCGATCATCTGGCTGAGTTGGAGTGTGTGTGGGCACCATCACATTTCATACTTTTGTTCCCCCTAAACCCACTAATAAGAGCCCTGGTGGTGTAATGGTTACACACTGAGCTGCCATCCATAAGATTAGAACGGTGGTTCTCCACCTTCCTAATGCCATGACCCTTTCATACAGTTCCTCACGTGGTGGTGACCCCCCAGCCATAACATTATTTTTGTTGCTACTTCATAACCTTAATTATGCTACTGTTATGAATCAGGTGACCCTGTGAAAGGGTCATTCCACGCCCAAAGGGGTTGAGACCCACAGGCTGAGAGCCACTGGATTAGAAGTTGGAGACACCAGCTGCTCCTCAGGAGGAAAAGGGGCTTTCTACTCCCATAAAGAGTT